TAATTAATTATTAATTAAAGTAAGACTACGCATTATCATAATTAAAATATTTTTAAAAATTAATATAATTATATTAAAATTGTGAGATTTGTTATATTTTATCCAAATCTTGAGGTAGGTCAATGTAATTAATCCCCTTTCACTTCAACAATTAACTATTTTGTCAGTCATCTAATAACCTCGACTTATTAACTATTGTTACACAATCTTAAATAGAATTCAACTTTAACATGATATTAGGTAGAATTCAACCCTAGGTCTGATAAGTATTTGTTGTTACACAAATTTCAGTAAAACTCAACCTCAAAAGTTAATGATTAAGGTGAGAGTGGTCCTCACCCTTTAATCTGCACATTAATTTCGTTTCCAGCATCTTACTCATTCTTAGACCATCTCGAACGATTAAGTAAATTTGGCATCAAATTTAAAATTTGGTAAAAAATACACTTTTTAGAACTCTAACGGTTTCACCAAATTGGTATCAAAATGAGAATTGAACAAAAAAATCATCAAACTGAGAACAGAATACAGCTTTCACCAAATTATTGTGCGTGACCGTTGGAGGAGACCAACCGGTCAACCAGCTAGTTGACCGGCCGGTTAACCAACCGGTCGACCGGTTCCCTTTCAAATAGGTAGGTTCAAACCGGTCAAAAAAGATTCAAACAGGTAAAAAAAAAAAAAATTGCCCTTACCGGTCGACCACTTCCCTCAATTCTGCTTTGATGCTCACCGTTGGAAGAAGAAGTATCAAATTGAGAAAACAACCTATTTTTTAACCTATTTTTTACTCGAATTTGATGAAAAAAGAAGTGAACGGTTGGAGATGCTCTTAGTACTCTAATTTTCATACTATATTACATGATCTTGTGTAAACCTCATTTTACTTTAATAATAATAATAATGTATCACTTTATATTTATGAATAATAATAAATAAATAAATAAATAAAAACAACTCACATGTGATATAAATCAGACCTATTAAATAATTTTATATATTTTTTTTAAAACAAGTAATGTGTTTTGTAACTTGGGATATGTTTGACATCAAAAATTTTGGCCCCTTTTTTTTTCAAATTTTTAGTTTGTAGTGATCTTTTTTTCAAAATAATGTTAATTTTTTTTATAAAAAATAAAAAATCATTTTCGATCAGCTATGTGTAGATGAATCTAAATTTTTTTTTTTAAAAAAAAAAAAAAACAAACAACAACAACAACAACAACAACAAGGGACAACCCATTAAAGTCTTGAACTAGTACATAGCGGATAATGTGGATTTAGGCCCATTCAATGGTGGCAACACCTTCTCTTCTTAATCCATGCAAAACTTGTTTCATTGAATTTGACTTTCTTAGGTTGGTACACTGCTTCCCTCTATTCAATTTCAGTAGACATGAACATGGTGATAATAAAGAAGAGAGAGACCTTTCCGATGTATCCAAAAAAATAAAGAAGAGAGAGAGAGAGAGATATGTTCCTGTTGGTCCACCAGATTTTTTTCATCTTTCATGATTTTAGTTACTTTGTATTGGGATATATATATATATATATATATCAAAAATGTTTGAGACTTTCAAAGTTGGGGACTTTCATGACCCCAAAATGATGTGAACCAATCATGTGTTTTTATTTTTTTATTTTATATTTTTCAAAAATGCTTGGGACTCCCAAAATTGAGGACTCCCATGATCTCCAAAATGATGTGAGCCAAAATGTGTTTTTATTGTTTTGTTTTTCTTTTATTCCTGGACCAATCACAGGTGGTGGGGGGTTGTGGGGCTATGCTTTTTTGGGGTCAGTAGCATCACTATGATTGGTTATCATTTTTTAAAAATACTTTTCAGAAAATTTTACTTTTTTATTTTTCGTATTTTTTTATTTTTACTGAATTTTTTAAATATTTTGAGCAATTTTTTTAATTTTTAAACATACCTAACATATATATACCTAAAAAGTAAAAAAAAAAATTGAATTTTTTTTTAAAAAATTCACTAAATACCAAAAAAAAAAATTTAAACATACCTAACATATATATACCTAAAAAGTAAAAAATTAAATTAAATTTTTTTAAAAAAATTCACTAAATACCAAAAATGCAAAAAAAAAAAAATACGAGAATTCAATATATTTTTTATATTTTTATGTATTTATTAATTTTTAAAAATATTTTTTCATAAATTTTTTACTTTTTAGATATATCTAAGTAAGGTCCATCTAAAAAAGTAAAAAAAATATTTAAAATTTTAAAAATATTCACTAAAAACAAAAACAAAAAAACATGAAAATCAAAAAACTCAGTTTTTAAAAAACTTAATTCAAAAAACTTAAACCAAATACACTGATTGTTGTTGTTTTTTTTTTCTTTTTTCTTCCTGGACCAATCATAGGTGAGTGGGGGTTGTGAGGGTTATGTTTTTTTGAGGGTTATGTAGCATTGTTGTATACACACGAGCAATTTATGAAAAATACTACTCTATATTTGAATGTATATACATATATGGTAAATTATATTTATTACCTGAGTAATGTTAGGAATCATAAAAAAAAAAAATCATGAAATACTTCATGAAGATTCTTTATCTTTAGATTATACATACAATGAAACATTACATACTAATTAAAGGATGAAAAATCTTCAAATGATGAAAAATCTTCATGAAGCATTTTATGATATTTTTTTCCATGATCCATAACATTATTCATTTTACATTTATAATTTGATTTAAATTTTATTTTAATTCTTATTATTTTAATTTGAACAATTTAAACATTTCGCTTTAAATTCAATCTCAATTTAATTCTTCCGTGAAGTGGATCGGACATTTGTTACAAAATTGTTGATGTCAACAAACGGAATAATCAAATAAAAATTAAAAGCATAAAAATTAAATTATTTAATAAAAACAATCGAGATGAAAGTAAAACTTAAATTAATTATCAAAATTAAATTTAAAAGTATACCTATATGGCAGATGGACATTGTCGTCACCCCCTGTACTGTTCAAAAAGCAGGGGATGAAAAGGGAGGGCAGGGGGGGAGAAGTTATTGTTTGGTGCAGAACAGTGTCACGCAACATTTTATATTTATTATAATTGTTAGAGAAATTTATAATTTTATATTAAATACTTCAAAAACATAAAAATTTACAACAATAAAAAAATAAAAACAAGGCATAGAAAGTGGGTGGAGCCCACTGTCACATCATTAGGTCAAGTTTGACATGATTGAAAGAAGACAAAAAGTCAAAAAATCACTATCTTATTTAAGTCACATCATCTCTCTAACACATCACTTCAAACCCAACCCAAACTATATTTTATAAAAAGTTAAAAAATACACTTATTTAGTCTTCCCAAACTAGGCCTTAGTGCTCCCTCTAATGATCCATTTTTAGTGCTCTCAAACATTTTTCAGGATATATATGAATGTGAATGGACCTAACATCAGATATTCCAGATCCTATCATTGTCCTAATCCTTTTGACCACTGTGTTTTGACCCTAAAACCTAGGGCCTAGCCTGCCCTACAACCCCAACCTAAAACTGTAGTGCTGCTTACTTACTATTCACAGAAACAGGAAATAGAGCTGATGGGTATCTTTAATTTTGCACTCTCCAAAATGAACAACATACCTTTTAATCAATAACTTTTGGATAAATGGCTCAACCATACTTTTTAAACTACAACCTTCTGCAGTGAAAGAAGATGACTTTACATCAACTGATTTTTCATTGTAAATATTGTAGAACATTAGGAGCAATCAAATTAGGATTGCTTCAGAAGATTATTGGGATATATCAAACAAACAAACAAACAAACAAACAAAAATGGCAATGGAAACTCTCTGAAAATTTCCAACATACATGAAAAGGGGAAGAAAAATTCAAAAGCATGAAATCTACTTTTGTATGTAGCATTTTCCCAAAAATGTGTATGAACAATACACAAAATATGATTGGTCAAAAAATATAAACCCCGTATCTAAAAAATGTAATGAGCTCAACTAAAATGATAGATTCTACCATTCTATACCAAACAAAACGTGTGTAGAGTATCTGAACAAAATAAAATTCAATTTTATCCCAACTGTTGTCCAGTTTTTTTCCCGTTCTACAAATCACATCACGGATGGCCATTATGAATCCCTCCACTACCATCCCACCCTGCAGCAACGCCCTCCCTCAAGTGCAAATTTTATTTAGTGTAAGTGAAAATCATGTTTAGTATAAGTGAAAAATTATGCCGATTTAAGTGTACTAGTGTAAATGTTCATTTTGCTTGATACAAGTGCACGTGACCTCAACCCTTCCCTGCATCGCTACTCAAGCCCTCCCTCACCTGCCCCAAAGGTCACCTTGACCTTTCCTGACCTCTCTTGCCACCACCACTGCCACAACCACCTTGCCCACCCTTTCAACCCCCCTAACTTTGTCACACCCTGTCCCAACCCCCACTGCCGTCCTCTCCATGAGAGAGAGAGGCTGTGGTCGTCTTTAGGGTTTCGGTCATGGCAGAGGCGAAGAGAGAAAGTTAGAATGAAAGTGGCAATTTTGGGAGAGCCCATGCGTTTGATTGATTTATTTATTTTTCAATTCTTCATTGCTATTATTCTGAAAACAAAAACAAAGAAAACAAAAATCATACCAAACAAGCCTAATGGATACAAGACTAAAAAAATATCCGGGTAAATTTTTAATTTTTTAAGGACTAATTCAAATTCCAAAAGTGTGGTTGCATTGAGACCCCTCTACCCCATCAAAACACAGGACAGGTTGGGCTTGGCTTGGTATGTGGTTATAGGTAAATTGAGATATTCACACATTCCACCAAAAACAAAGCTGGGCTCAAGTGTGGCTCTAGTGTGTGGGGTGCAAATGGCCAACTCAAAATTTACTTTTTTTTTGGTTAATTACCCATAATATATATACATATATATAGTAATTCCATTTCTTTTCATTTAGTTTTCCTTTGACAAATCCATGATCCAAACATAGCATAAAGAAGCACAAATCCTTAGCTTAAAATATAATCCATGTCCACTTAAATGAAAATGATTGCCTTAAGGACAAGTTACATAGCTAGATCTCAATGAGAAATGTAGCTCTCATTTCAGGATAGGGGACTAGAAGATCAGAAACGAAAGCCCCTCGTTCTATATGGCAAAACCCACAACTACCATTGCCAGATCCTTACCTAAGCATACATGAAATGCTGGCAACATATTTGAAGAAACTGGATTTCAATTATGTAAATTTGTCTGTCAAAGGAAATGAATACCTATAACTCGAAAATTTGGGAAGAATTTTACAAGATGAGAGTCACATTATTAGTTTCAGGACATGTGGCAAATCTCATCTCAGAACAACGTTCAACTTGTTCTGCACCTGTTCTCTTACATTCCACTGCACCCACAAAAGAAAAAAAAGCAAAAAAAAGAAGAAAAATAAGTTAGGGTTTGTCATTTGATAGAACAAACAAGAAGAAAGGGCCCTTTCAAGGAAAATACCTGTAACTCATTAATTTCATCGTCTGTAAGTGAACGCTCCATGGATCGATATGCTATCCTGTAACAATGACTAGTCATTCCTTTCTTGTTTGTAAAATTATCAATCAGTTGCACCTGGAAAGAAAAGATGAATTCAAAAGGTGAAAGAAAAGATCAATCAGTTGCACTTCGGCATCACTTCTTAAACCTTCATATCACAACCTATGTGATGAATCTCTTCACAATAACAATGTTCAACATTCTTTGAAATGCAATTTCTACATTTCAAATATCACTACAAGAATCTGCACTTTTAGCAACCACTTTCCGCGAACAATATAAAAGTTGGTAGCCAAAAGTTGCCTTTTGGCGACCAAATATTAATTAGTCGCGAATGATCATTATTTTTGGTAACCAAATATAAGTTGGTCGCAGAAAGTGGTATGCTTTTGGCGACCAACTAAAAATTTGGTCGCGGAATGTCACATTTTGGCTACCAAAAAATAAATTGGTCGCGGAAGATCAAAAATAAGTTGGTTGGGGAATTGGCAACCAAAATTTTAGTCGTCAAAAACTTATTTTCTCCGACCAAAAATATTTTAGTTGTCGTATATTGAGTTTGGGCTACTAAAATAATTTAGTCGCCGAATGGAAAATAAAATTTTTTTTTTTCTTTGGCGACCAAAAATTTGGTCGCCAAAAACTTATTTTCAACAACCAAAAAAAAATTAGTCGCCAAATTAGTACTTTTAGCGACTAATATTTTAGTCGCAGTTGATTAAGATTTAGTGACTAAAAAAATTTGTCGGCGAAGTTACCTTTTCTGCGATTAATCTGGTATTTTGGTAGCCAAAAGTTTGGGAGGGAAATTTGAAACGTGGAGGCGGGAATTGAAATTTTTTTGCGACAAAAAAATTTGGTCACCGATTGTAAAACGACGTCGTCTTGTACTAAGAAAACAGAAAAAAATAAAAATAAAAAAAAAGGCTCTAATCTCCCCTCTGTCTTTAGCTCGCTCTCTGTGTCTCTATGTTGGTCCGCCCTCTCCCTCTCTCTGTGTCCTCTCTCTCAATCGGTGCCCACTCTCTCTAGCTCACAGAAGTCCCTCACCACCGTGAAAGCAAAACAAGCTGAGAGAGAGCTCACAGTGCCGAATAGAGAGAGCGCCAATTTAGTTAGAAACAAAAGCAGAAGAAGAGGGATGACCAATCCACCGTCGTCGGAGACTCTCCGGCCGACTGACCGAAACCCTAGAAATCGAGAACGGCCTCTCTCTAGTCCCCCGTATGAAGCTCCTCCTCACTATCCGCTGCGCAGACCACTCCGTCAAGCCCCTCGACGAGTGGCAACTCAAGCGCTCCCTCACTGACTTCCTCAAATTCCCACACCGTTCCCGAAGACGACATCATCGTTCGCAGATTCAAGGATCTCAAGAAGCACAAGCGCGATGATCGAGCCAGCTGGGAGTTCCCCGACCTGGGGTTTCTATCCAAGCTTTAAAGATCGGAAATTCTTCATGGTATAGATGGAGAAGACGATGTTAAGGAACTCGAGAAGAAGTTTCTAGACTAGAGAAGATCGGTTGTTGATAAGACCGAAGAGATTGAGTTGAATCTTGAAGGTGTTAAAGTTTAGATTGACTACTTCAGTTTCGGAATCGGATGATTTTGATGGAATGAGAAAAGAGTGGGAAGAGCTTAATGCGTTTGGTAATTGAGGTTTGTTCTTGATTCTGTCCATAGTTTTGAATTTTTTATGCTTACTGGTCTTGCTGTCTACAATAATGGATTCAGTAATCTAACTCAATATTTTTTCTTCTAAATGCTTAATAATTTTGTGAGAATTACTGGTAATAATGGATGTATGAATGTGTTGTTTGGTTGTAGGATATTCAAGAGGTGGGAGGCAGCAGCAGCCTGATACAATTGTGTTGAAAGGTGTTTCATCTCGCTGGTTTGCTGAGCCAAGAGTTTCGTCTAAGACTTCAATGCTGGTCACTCACACGATTTTTTATGCATTTGGGAAGATAAAGTGTTAAAATCCACCGTGGTTTCTGCTATTTTTCTGTTTCCCTAATGCGCTGCAATTCCATAATATTGTTCTTGTTGAATTTGTGGGGTGGTTGTGTTTTTTTGAGGCTCCTGACATTGAGTTCTGTTTTTTATGCTCCAATGCACACATCAGCATTTGGGAAGATAAAGTGTGTGTTAATGTCGTGGTTTCTGCTATTTTTCTGTTTCCCTAATGCGCTGCAATTCCATAATATTGTTCTTGTTGAATTTGTGGGGTGGTTGTGTTTTTTTGAGGCTCCTGACATTGAGTTCTGTTTTTTATGCTCCAATGCACACATCATATTATCTTGAATATGGTTGTATTGAGATTTCTTAATTTACTTGTCATCTCATTAATTTGATGAAACCATTTCCTCTTGAAACTTCTCATGATTGAAGATTTTAGATAGCAGCAAATATTTGTGGTTATTTGATAAAGCTGAAAATTCTTGTGCCGGTTAGTCACATTGAAGACTTTAAGTTTGCTCAAATCATATTTGAGCACAATTTTATTGGATTCGATTTAGTTTAAAAACTACCAACTACTTGGCATGTTCTGGTGCCTTTCAAAGAACATTGATGAAATAGTGCATAGTGGGTGGTTGGTTTGATGTTTTTGGTTTCCTTAGTGTTGGTAAATGGAAGTTACAATAGTGGGATTTCAGAATTTTTTTAATTGCGGAAATTTTGGGCTTTAACAGGGATATCATGCTCTTTTCCCACTTGCATGTGCCTAGATTTCGAATTTCCATAAGAATGTTGATTGTTAGAAAAGTTATCAAGATAATATGGGTTTTGGTGCTCAAGGATGAGCTTCAGAATCTATCATGGGTTAGGAATATAAGATGTTGGATTTGAAATCTTCAAAATGTGGAGAAAACGAGGAACCTGGGGTATTAAGATCGAACAAAGTACATATTATGAACTATCTAATATATGTGTGAATGGATACTAAGTTTGTTTGAACGAATACTTTTTTGATCATTATGTGTGAAAATAATAAGATTAATGATATTATATTAGTCTTTTGGGAACTTTAGAGGTGCCTGAGTTAAACAGCACATTTCATAATTAAGCTTTATTCAGATTTCATAAGATTTGGCACCCTTAATTCTAGGCATCATGGCTGTTATTTGGGTTTCAGATTTCTATTGTGAAAAGATGAAGCCCTAAATCTGGCATAAGTGGAGTTTGTGGTCTATATACTAAGAAAGAACAAATGAATTCATACTAAGAAAAAACTACCAACTACTTGGCTCCCCTGTTTTGGTGCCTTTCAAATTTATTTATTTATTTATTATTATTTTTAATGAAAATAAAATTCCTCTCTTAAGTTTTTCTAATGTACAAACACTCACTAGTCTGATATAATAAAAATTCCGCCTATTTTCTAAAACTTATGCTTTTGGGACAATTGGTGATGCAAGAATTTGATCTTTGTTCTTTTTTGTCATCAATCTTTCAAGGTCTATGAGAGATCTCTGTCAGGTTTTGGTGCTGGCCCAAATGCAGCTGCTGCTACTCAGTTTGTGAGAGCTGAAATGCTTCCAAGTGGCTATTTCATTCGGCCATGCAAGGGTGGAGGGTCAATTATCCATAAAGTTGATATGTTGGTTTCGATCAGCTGCCAAGCAAGTTGATATGTTAAATCATTAAAGAATGTGAAAGGCTTCAAGTTTTGTGTCATGTTGGACTTCAAAGAGGATATAGCTTTTGAAAAGACATGCTTACTAAATTCAATTTGACTTGAATATGGCATGTGCTGCACTACGGTTACATATTTTCATCTTTATTTTAAATGGAATTCAATTGTTGTTTGATGATTTAGTGAAGTTACAAGAAACAAAATTTGTTAATTATTGTTCATAAGCTTTTTCTTTTTTAAATGTTATTGTACCTTAATTGTGGTTGGGTTAAATGTATTTTGTTCGATATTGGATTGAATATATATAAACAAAAATTGATTGTCCTCAAAAAAAAAAAAGAAAAAAAAAGAAAGAGATTTGACAACTAAAAAATTGGTCGGCAAATTCTACACTTTTGCGACTAAAATCATTGATCGGTAATTCCTTACCATTTAGCGACTAAATTGTTAGTCGGCGATTCCTCAACTTTTGGCGACTAATCTGTTTGGTCGTGGAATGTGACAATTGGCGACTAAGATATTTAGTCGGGAAATATCACTTTTGGCGACCAAAGTGTTTTAGCGACAAAATGGATTAGTTGCAGTAATGATATATTTAGCGACCAAAAATATAGTTGGCAAATCCAACTTTTCCCAACCAACAAAAATTTTGGTCGCTAATTACTTTTGCCGATCCTCAATTGGCGACCAAAGTAGCGACCAAAAAAATTAGTCGTGGATAACTTTTGCCGACTAAAAATGGGCTTTTAGCGACCAATTTTTTGGTCGGCAAAGATGTTATTTCTTGTAGTATCTGTTTTGAGGTGTCAAGTGTATTACAATTTTCTACAATTATTTTCCATTCTTTGAAATGCAATTATTACGTGAATGATATTTTAATACAACTTTAAGATATCACTTCATGAAATACTAAAGTTAAACTCAAGTAAATTGTTCAAAAGAACAAAAAGCAAAACAAGAAAGAATTTTTTTTTTTTAAGTAGTAAGAACAATTTTCGGAAAAAGTTTGTGTTAGTTTCCATTTTCACTGTTTTAAAAAACATAAAGCAATACCAAAAACATTAAATTTATCAAAAACCAAGAAAACAATGATTCTAGTTATTATCAAATGAATAGTTTCATTGCTCCGGCAAAAAGTCTGATTTCAAAAAATTCAAGTACGTACCTCCTCCACAAGATCTCCAGCAACTCCTCGAACAATTTCACAAAGATTGTTTTCAGTGAAGTAATCATTGATCCAGAAACTCATGTCCTTATAGCAAGGAGGAAACTGTGAAAGACAATAGCTTTTGTTCTCAGTGGAAGAGAGGAGAAGAGGTGCAAAAACCAAGTAACATGTTATCTAAGATATTGAAGTTTAAATGTCAAAATGATAACAAATTTATTTAAAAGAATTTTCAAAGGTCATACTATAAGGCATCGGGGCCTCTAAACATGAGAGACACCGCGAAGGAAATTATATATAAAAACTTCAACAAAACTGGAACCTCACAAAGAGGTACCTCATTTGTTGACTGTTTTGTAGTCCATACAGGCACGCCATTTTCTATTGCCTACTCACAATGGGAGTGGAGCCCACATTATATATTATGCTAAATAAGTAAATCTTACGATTCATGATTTGATTCGCAATTTGACAGCAATGATCATCCATACCTTTGAAAATGGCTTGAACTTTACCCCAAGCTGGCCTTTCGAGAACTGCATTGAGAAAACAAAACAAAATTAATGATAAAAGATAATCAACAAGGTTACTACAAGATTTTAGATGGTTATAAACCCTTAAAAATTCCTTGGTACAGATTTTCTCACAAGAGTTGCAATCTTTAGAAATAAATTCTCTCTAACATGGGGGTGATAGCATGTATAGGTGGTTTTTAATGGATTCAGGAATTACTTGAGATGTAAACCGCTCATCAGATGACCAAAAAAGTCGGATGTCTGGGATGTCAAATAGGACCATGGCCAAACGCTCCAATCCAAGTCCAAAAGCCCAAGCAACATTATTTGTTTTGCCACTCCTCTTCAATATTTCCTGCTCTGTCACTCCGCAACCCAGAACCTCCAACCACTTTTCCTGTCAATAATCAGAAAGTTAATCATTGGTTATATAAGGTTTTATAAATACTGTGGTTTCCTAAGAACTGTAACTGTGAAAGGACCAAGATGATCTCTGCTTGTCTGAGGAAAGTGTAACGCCCTAGATTATCTTTCTACAATTCAGTTTCCCTCGTTATGTTCTAATCTATCTACTTTCCTTCTCTTCTCAATACTACATAATCAAAAACAACCATGATCCTTATTCTACTGGGGTGTCTTTAGCATAATTGTATCTGAAAGATTGAAGATTCTATTTGCCATCATCACCCATGTAGTTTTTCCTGTTTTGCCTTTAATTGACTTCATATATTTTTCTCTATTTTTCCCATTTCAAAGAGTTGTCTACATCGCCTCCTCATTTTCGCTGTCTTAAATAATATATTTATCTCTCTGTTCTAAAATAAAAGGTTGCTGATAATTTTGGCTTAAAAGCCAATCTCGAACGCAATGCATCTAAAGTGCTAGAAGATCCAGGATAAGGTCCATATGTATTTCGAATTTCACCGCCAAAAAACAACCACACCACCATCAGTGACAATATCAATTATAACTTCTATGGATGAAGAGTTTTTTTTGGTTATAAACAAAAAAATGGTGATGGTAAAGAGGAGTTCCACAAGACACCAGAAAGGTACTTGGTAATAGAGTAGAAAATATGAAATAGTGTAAACAACATGAGTAAAGCTTTATAGTCTCCACATGTATACACGTACATCATTTTGAAAAGGGTAAATTACATTTACCTCTCCTGAGATTTCGACAAATATAGAGACCTTTCTTGTGGTTTGAATAATTACAGTAACCTCCCCTGCTGACAATGTCAAGATTCCCCCTTCTGCCAAATTGTTCCAAACGGTGTTACTTTTTCTATAGTAAATTACCTTATTGCCTTTCCTTTTGAAATATTAAAAAATATTTTTGGATTGGAGGACAGATTTGGAAGAAACAAACAGTGTTTGGAACAGTATTTTTAGATTTATTTTTTTAAAATATTAAAAAATGTTTTAAAAAAAATTATTTTTTATTTTAAGCATATAATTTTTATTTAAATATTTTATTTTGTAAATATTTTAATTTTTTTAATTTTAATATTTTAAACTTAACACAACTTCACACTCAAATCGTAACCAAACACATAACTCAAAGCTTAATTCAAAAATTATTTTCAAATCTCATAACCAAACACATAACTCGACACTCCATACTATTTTCAAAATTCTACATTCAAATCGTAACCAAACGCATTACAAAATAAAATATTTAAAATAAAAACTATATATTTAAAATAAAAAATAAAATTTTTAAATTTTTTTAATATTTAAAATATTAAAAAAAATACAACACATAGATGTATGAAATATAATACACATTAAAATAAATAAATAAATATTTAAAATATAAAATATTTACCCTAAAAAAATAATTTCAAAATTTATAACTAAACAAATTTTTTCTTTTCAAAACTCATAACTTAAAATACGACTCCACACTCAAATCATGATTCTAAAAATAATTTTAAAAAATAAAATAAATTTGTTTTGAAATTTTTTTTCTTTTAAAATAAAGTTTTTGAAAAAGTTTGGTTTTGAGTTTTGAAAAGAGTTTTCAATTGAGTTTTAAGTTTGTGTTTGGTTATGAGTTTTGAAAATAATTTTTGAATTGAGTTTTGAGTAAAAACATGTTCCGAAAAAAGATTTTTTTTAGAAACATGTTTGGTTCTCTTTTAGAACCACAATTCCAATTAGAAATTTTCAAAAATCTTTTCAAAACTCGGCATGGTTTGAGAAGAGGGTTTGGGGACTTTTTTGGCTAAAATAGCCACAAAACGCAAAATAGACTTTTTAGGCCAGTATGACAAAACATCACATCCAACCCATAATCATTACATTCTTTCTATCACAAAAAAATCAAAAAAGTCAAAAGTCCTTCCTAAACCAGGCTTTTTAGCCCCAGGCTTTTTAGCCCTAGGCTAAAACAGCCAAAAAGCCAAAGAGCCAATCCACTTCCCAAACCATGCCTAGAGTCTTAACCAAATACACAACTCAAAACTCAATTCAAAAATTATTTTCAAAATTCATAACCAAACATAAACTTAAAAAAATACAAACTTATGTTAAATATATTTTTTAAATATTAAAAATTTTTAAAAAAAATTATTTTTAATTTTAAATATATAATTTTTATTTTAAATACATAGTTTTTAGGAAAAATTATTTATAAGTCCTATTAGGGAGACTTATGCTACATATGGTCCTACTAAAAAACTTATGTTCCCATAAGTCCAGTGGGAAGTTTATTGACACATTTACCCTCAATATTAGTTGTTAATATCATAAATAATAGTAAAATCATATATAGGAAATTGAATGTTACCATAGATCATATCTATATAAACGTAACGTAACGTAACGTAACACCTATACGTAACGTGACACCTACATAAACGTAACGTGACACCTATGATTTATGGTAACATGCAATTTCCTAAGATTCAATTTCCTAGGAAATTTGCATGTTACCATAGATCATATCTACATAAACGTAATGTAACGTGACACCTACATAAACGTAACATGACACCTATGATCTATGGCAACATTCAATTTTCTATATATCATATTTACATAAACGTAACGTAACGTGACACCAACATAAACCAGCAACATTTTTACATTCAATTTAAAAAAATAATAACTCATTAAGTTTGCAAAACGTAACGTGACACGTTACGTTACATTTATGTAGGTGTCACATTACGTTTATGTAGGTGTCACGTTACGTTACGTTTATATAGGTGTCACGTTACGTGACGTTTGTGTAAGTGTCACGTCACGTTACGTTTATGTAGGATCTTGTGGAATACATTCCTATCTAAATAGGACTTGAGACTCTATAAGAAATTACACAGGATTTAACCTACCATAAATGTCTGAAAAAAGACTTATAAATAAGTTTCCCTAGTTTTTATTTTAAATATTTTATTTTATTTTATAAATATATTTTTAAATATTTTAATTTTTTTGTTACGCGTTTGGTTACAATTTCAGTGTAGAGTTTTGAAAGTAGTGTGAAGTGTCAAGTTATGTGTTTAGTTATGAGATTTAAAAATAATTTTTGAATTGAGTTTTGAGTTATGTATTTAGTTACGATTTGAGTGTGAAGTTGTATTTTGAGTTTAAAATATTAAAATTAAAAAAAATTAAAATATTTACAAAACAAAATAAAATATTTAAATAAAAATTATATATTTAAAATAAAAAAATAAACATTTTTTAATATTTTAAAAAAATAAATCCAAAAATACTATTCCAAACACTGTTTGTTTCTTCCAAACCTGTCCTCCAATCCAAAAACATTTTTTAATATTTTAAAAGGAAGGACAATAAGGTAATTTACTATAGAAAAAGTAACACCGTTTGAAACAATTTGACAGAATGTGAGAATCTTGACATTGTCAAGTAAAGCAGAGGAAGTTACTGTAATTATTCAAACCACAGGGGAGGTCCCTGTATTTGTCAAAAACCTCAGGGGAGGTAAATGTAATTTACCCTTTTGAAAACTACAACCAGACTTGGAAATACTTTATAATTTTATTGATTTGGACACATGTATGCACTATGGAACCAAGTGACAAAAGTATACACTATATATTCTAACAGGTAAAGCATTTTGAATCTTTTACTTTTTAGTCACAAGACTCGCAACTAATACAGAATGCATATGTTTGACGCAGAGTTCAAAGATTGAAGTCAATTGTACAAATAATTAATAGCCTACCATTACCAGAAGGAAGAGAGATCCGTAACATTACTGTTTTTCTCTTGATAAGAAAAAGTAAGTTTTACACACACAAAAAAGAAAAAACAAGTTTTATATTAGCATTACTCATCAATACGTTTTATTCATTGAATCTCAAAAATGACTGTTGTAACAACTTTATATATTATAACAAGAAGCTAGACATATATTACGTTCAAGAAAGGTATGCATATCATGCCAAAGAAATAGTACTCAAACCTCTACCTCTCTCTCACAAAAGTTTTTAAATGTTTTTCTGTTACTGCTCCATTTGTATGATGACAGTTCAAAAATGTATCAAATGAACCAAGACAGAATCCATGGATTTTCATGAAGAAAAATTTTCCTAGAAAATAGTTCAAAATCAAGCTTCTCAAAAAAGTTATGGTTAACGCAATCAAAGAAAAAACAATTAAAAAGCAAACCATGTGCAATCAAGCCCCACCAAGAAAAAAGTAAAGAAAATTCATACCTGAAAATATATCTCGAGTTCAAATGATGGATCGGTAAATGGAAAATAAGTGTCAATCCAGCGCATTTCCACAGAACCTAAAATTCTCAAAAGATGTTAGGATGAAAAGGAAAAGTAAATTATATCTCCTGCAGAAACCAACATATAAGCCCAGATATGTTTGTTCTTAAAAAAATTTCCTTGACTTACCACACTATTATATGTTACAGATACTGTAAATCATTCTATATATTGAATCATCCTAGTTTCACCCAGAATGAGAGACATCATATGATCTTCATTTGTAACCTGATTTGCTTTTTCCCCATAAATTTTTTTTTATCCTTTCACCATCCCCAATATATTTAGAATATTTAAAAACTCTCAATCACTGGACATAATGAATAATAATTATATCTTCTATTGTCACAGCTCAAATTTTCAAGTCATGTTTCAATTTAAACTGTACCAAATAAGTGGCGTGCCAAACCCTCAAGGCACTTCTTTAAATCCTCAGCTGCATAAGATGTTCCATCCATGCCTGATGGCTCCCAATCATCTGGAGTAAAAACCCGAAACCCTTCCATCTGGAGCATCAAGACACCAAATTATTTGACAAAAAAAAAAAAGAAAGAAAAAAAAGTCAGCTGAGAACCATGGTTGCCATGATGAAAGATTAGAAACCTGATGGAATACGGGGTAATGAGTTGAATCAATAGAATCTCTACGATAAACATCTCCAGTGACAAGGAAATGGGTGTGTCCCTTCCTCAAAAGCTCAGCTTGATGTGCACTGGTGTGGCACCTTAAGACAGTTTGAGAGTCCACATAATATGTATCATTGTAACTCCTACTCACATGATCTTCAGGTACCAAGACATCATCAAAGTTCTGCAACAAGGATACCCATTGTCACAAGAATGCACAAGCACTAGACAAGATTATCCTTTATGGTTCTTGACCATGGAAACTAGGTCAATGCAAAATCCACACAAAATTCACCTCTATTAGTAACCCCATATAACTCCTATCTTCATGCTTCCAAAATAATTACTAGAAAAATAAGAATAATTAGAACTAGAAAATAACATTAAATTGCATATTGTAGGCTTTATTTACCACTAGAGGTTAAATGACCAAGTCTCTACTTAGTTTATGACTCAGATATCAGCTACAAAACTAATTACACCCTCTTCAATGAAAGATGCTCAACAGGAAATAAACTTTCATAGCTGTATTTAAAAAAATAGAAATAAAAAATCAAATATGACCTTTGCATATTCAAGACTAAAGAGCAATACATGATCTCTGGAGAACAGCTTTATGAGGGATAGATTAGAAACAGGTGTTTTGTAGAAGTTACTTAATAAATCCAATGATGTACCATTTTAACGGAAACAATTGGGAAGAGATTATCAAACTTGTCAAACTTTCCCGAGTAAGTGGTGTCAAAGTAGTTGTATATTGCATTCTTCAGAATCCCAATTGGATGATGATCCCTCCTATGAAGCTGCATTCCAAGTTTGGAAAATATCGAATCTGGAACATTGTTCGTTGGGTCATCCCTCACCACATCTAAAAATTCAATTTATCAAAATACATCAGGAAAATCCAAACAACAAACCTTTTACCACAATAGAATTTATCCAAATATAAAAATTTGCATTCCAAGTTGAAAAAATCACATCAGGAAACATTATTTGTCTGGCCATCCCTTAAAAACCATTTTTTTGGGGGGCAAGTATCCCTTAAAACCACACTAACCTTACATATCAATTCAATTGATGAAACTTTTAGAACTAAAGGAAAAAAAGGAGAGTGTGATCCAGTTGTGTCGGTACTGAGAACAAAATACAAAAACAGATCCAAACTGCAAAACCAATATTCTAAAAACCTTGCCCCAAATAGGAAGGACACTATATGTCAACCATAATGCATAATTTTGTCCAACCCAAATGCAAAACTAGTGAAGAAATCAAATTTCAAGAAAAACCCATAACAATAATAACCAAGAAACTGCCAAAATTAGACCAACCAAGAGAGTAATACTTCAAACCCAGCACAAGAATTAAGAAAAATCCAAAAAAAACCCAGCACAACCCAATATTCCCTAAAAAGCTTGGGCCAAGTAGGAAGAACACAATGTCAACTATAATGCATAATTTTGTCCAACCCAAATGCAAAACAGGTGAAAAAATCGAATTTCAAGAAAAATCCAGAACAATAATAACATAAAAACTGCCAAAATTGACCAACCAAGAGAGTAAAACTTCAAACCCATCACAACCCAAAACTGTGACAGCATAGAATCGAAGAATTCAACAGAAAAGTATCATAAGAATGCTTTTTTTGAGGTGGGTATGTTACCATCTTTGGCCATTTTGACTCCACCGAGCTCGAGAAGTGAAGCCGCTGGTTGCCTCGACTTGTGGCGGCGAAGACTGTCCGGAGATACAGCCGTAGAAGTGGAAAAACGAGATAGGGAAATGGAAAAAGAGAAGCTTTTGAAGCCATTTCTATGGAGGAAGAGAGATGGTTTTGAGAAGAGAGTGTATTGAGCGAATGAGAAAGCCATCAATGTTGTCGCCTAGAGTGTCAATGGCGACTGGTAAGCAGTGAGTCCTCTCTCTCTCTAAGGACCTGTTTGGATAATCCGGAGCGAGATGGGTGGATATGGGTCACAACCATTTAGGGCAATTTTGATTGGTTTTTAAATTTTGGACCCAAAAAAATGGTTTTAAATTTTTTGAATTTTTTTTTTATGATTATCAATTCTATAATTTAAAAAGATGGGAAACAAAATTTTTGAAAAGGTTGATTGTTTTGGTGCTGTTATATTCTCTAATGAAATTAATATTTTTATCTTTTTAAAATTTAATTAATAATAATATTATTTTTGATAGTTTCTTAAAAGAAGCTCATTCATAAGAAATTTCCTTTGAAAGTCGAGAATACTAGGGTTCGGGAAATGTAACTACAAAGTAGAGCTCAAATAAATACAACCAAACATGTTTTAAGATTAAAAATTAAAATTATTAAAAATATCTTGTGTTTTTAAAATTTTTATCTTTTTTTCGTCCCAAAAACCACTTGTTTGCAGAGCCTTTTTTTTTTTTTTTCATCTCTTGGTTCAATTTTTTTGACTAATTTTTAGTGTATGTTGAGAGACACTTAGGGGACAACTTAGACCAGTCTAATTTAAGCAATCCATGTTTAGTACAGAAATTTTTAAACTGAGTTTGAATCATGAATTTAGAAGAATTAGAAAACAAAGGGAAAATATAAGTGAATTGTAAATAAATATAACTATATTTCACTCATATTTTATCTCCATTTCAATTTTTATTTTTATTTTTATTTTTTTTGATATCCTAACTTAAATGATGATCCAAACCCACTTTTAGAATTTAAGCTTGGCCTGGGCCTAAATCTATTAGCACCCAAAGCCCATTAAAAAGGTAAGCACATAGGCAAATTATAAATTATAAAGGGCAAACCATACACCTTAGCACTGGACAATGACAAACAGAACAGCCAGAATCATCCATTGCTAGAGAGAAATTCATAAATCAATTCAAGGTTGAATCATGGATCTTATCACAATGCCCAAAACTATTTGAATGCTTGCCCTAACACAAACTCGTGAATGGCAGTAGCATCGTCTGAATGGACGGACTCCTCCCAAGTAAAATCCGCCAAGGTCTGGCACATTACAACAAAAAAACAAAAAGAAAGGAAAGAAAAGGATCACTAACGAGTCCAAGGGAACACGCATTTGGATGCCATGACCAACATCATCAACAACCCATCCTCCCAAACAAGGTCATCGCAATTGTGTACAATTAACAGGACAAGCTACTTGAAATGACTTGAGAATATCAATTCTTGCAACGTCAACACCACAAAACAACCTACTCCTAACAAATAAATTAAAACAATCATATTACTGGTTCTAAACAAACAAATTTAGGTTTAAGCGTTTGATTCTAAACCGGACCACTGAGAGCAGAATGGTATATTGTATTTACTGAGCCACAAGCATACACAAAGAAGAAGCATGCAATATAAAGATTATTTGTAGAGATTTTCCATTGCATCCTTCAAGCGTTGAACATCAGCACCAATCACTTCAGCGGCCTTTTTCCCATCTTTATAGAAGTGGAGTGCTGGCTGCAACAAAAATAGTCCCAGCATCACCACATTAATTGATCATCACTGGTGTAGATAAAATAATGAAATAACAAGCATCAAACTAAAGAATTAATTTAACTCATCACACACTTGCAGAAACATGAAGATGGGGATGGGTCGTGAGGGAGGCGGCAAGGTGGAGGAGGCTGGGGTGTGGCAGCTGGAGGTGGAGAGGGATGGCTGGGGTGAGTGGTGAAGGAGGCGGCAAGGGGGAGGAGGCAGGGGTGTGGCGGCCAGAGGTGGGGAGAGGCTTGGGGCTGCCAGGGAGAGCTGGGTGGCTGCTGGAGGTGGTGGTGGTGGCGGCGGCAGAGGCCAGAAGGGTTTCAGGTGGTGGCTGAGACTGGGTGTCCAAGGAGAGAGAGTCTCTTTTGAGTGTCCAAAATAAGATTTTAGGGGTGCTTTTAGAAGTTCCCCCCAATTCTGATGGGAAGTCGGTGTCATTTTAGATACCTAGGGGAAGTCCCCAGAATTGCCAGAAACCTCAAGGGAGATCAATAGATCAATGTGATTGTACCCTTTAGAAGATTACAATTATCCTGTATACTTGGCGTGCCCAATTAGCGTGAACAAAGAGAACTTGAAAATTGGAAGATGAGTTACAGCCATCCATGATGAAGTTCAAAAAGGCAAAAAAAAAAAAAAAAAAAAAAAAAAAAAAAAAAAAAAAAAAAAAAAAAAGAGGACAAGAAGTTGCTTTACCACAGAGTGAATATTCAATTCGCTTAATTTGCTTCCAAGCTCCTCCTGCAAACAGATTAAAAAAGAGAAAATCTCAATGATATTGGAGAAAGTCACATCATTTCATCGAGTAACTAATAAGAAGTTCTGCCATACTACAAAAGATGCAAGAATGATATGCCATTGTAGAAAGGAACATAAATAGTCAATCCTCTCGGTAATGCTAGTAACCGAGTCAATTTTAGAAATAGAACTATAAAATCAATGGAGAAATTTTCTCATCACCTAAAGAGGATAAGATTAATTCTTTCAAAAATCAAAAATAGAAGTCATCTCAACAACTTCAAAGTCATCTTTGTAACGCTTGGGTTTCAATTTCCAATGTAGGTATCCGTGTCCCATATGGGAAGTCACATCATCATACTTAAGGGGTTGACCCCACAACCTGAAGGCACAATACGTGCAATGTTATAGAATTATAAACCAAACCAAACCAAACCAAACCAAGCCTTAAGTCCCATTAAATGGGGTCAGTTACATGAATCCTTCTTCTCTATTCGGCTCTATCATGAGCTACTTGGTTAATCAAATTAAGAAGGTTTATATCTCTATTTACTACACTATCCCACGCCAATCTAGGTCTGCTCCTTTCCCTAATATTTCCATCTACTGTAACTGTATCGCATCTTCTCACTACTGCCTCTGTTGGTCTCCGTTGTATATATAACCAAACCATCTCAACTTCTTCTCTCTCAACTTATCTTCTATCGATACTTAGCAGGAAAAGAACACAAGAATATTTGATGATAAGCTTGATGATAAGTTTGATGATCTTAAAGGCATTGGGATATAATTTGCTACTTATCTTCTTTTTTGGTTGCTAATGTCTCCTCCTTTCAAGAAGATTCCTTTATTTTTTATTTGTAGGGATAATTTTGGTTCCTCTTTTCTTTCCTTTTTGGAAGACCTCTTGTTCTCCTTTATCTATTGTATAACTATATTTTTATTAATGATTACTGAAATTTCATTGATGATGATCAAAACGAGGGCCTTCCAAACAAATTTATGGGAACACCACATCAACTTAGGTTGCATTAAAGAAACTCAAATTTGAGTCTCCATAACATACCTAGAAAAAAAAGAAATTGTGAGGTTTTTAACATTGTGTATATTAATTCTCAAAACTGCACCAAATTTTAATGAATCCCTGACAGGAAGTAAAGAAAAAGTATGAATAAACATAAATAACCATTAGTCAGTTTTGTTCCTGCCAAGACACATCACCACAGAGGTGAATCATGTACAAAACCAACCTTTCACTTTACATGGATCATGCAGAAGTTCCTCAATAATTTAAGATATGTAAGAGGAAAAAATAAAAGGGGTGACCATTGGTTCAATGGTTAAGACTTAGCCTAATAACCATGAGGTTATGGGTTCAAGTCTTGGGACCATCACATCACTTTGTGCATTATGTCAAAGGTTAGGTGTGTACTCAATATTTTTCCTTCCAAACACACATTAATGTGTACTAATTGGGCGTTTTTTTTTTATGTAACAGGAAAAAATGCTCTCTCCTAACATGCATCTAATAATTCCCATAATAAAATTGAACTGGTTGTCTACAAGGAGATCACACCTTATTCATTGCATCTCCCAGCTAAATACCTAATCACCTATTATGCTTAATTCTCAAAATTAATCTCAAATATAATAATAGTTAAGATGGCCATGTTGCCAAAGTTTCTAACCAATCTAATCAAAATGAAACAACTATCACATTTCAAAAGTCCAGTAAAAAACTCGTGAGTGTTCATTGATTTGATTTATTTTGCTGAGTCTTGGTGAAACATATGACGAACAGGATATATGATTTAGTAAATTTAGCATGTGAACAACTAAGCAGTATTAGAGTTCAGTAAATGAATACAATCAATATTTTTAGAGGTGTGAGTATAGGTAAGGTTTTAACCCTAACAAAGTAAACATAAACTTCAAGAAACAGGTTTTTAACTATAACAAAGTAAAGCATAGGTTTTAACCCCATCAAAGATTTTATCAAAGATTTTATCATATATGATATGTCCATTGCGTATAGTAGAAAAACCAGACAGAAAACTCATCATCAGATAAACATGAACAAAGATATGGAAAAAACATAACTGTAAAATTGTTCCCCATGGCTTCTAGAATGAAAGAAACATTACCAATCACTTTCACTTTATAAATACATAACTACAAGATAAATGTGGTTTACATAAGGCATACAGCTCACTTGTTTAGGTTGAAAATATGCAAAAGGACATCTTGGCTCATAAGGCTACAGCACACTGATTAATTGATAGAGCATAAAGGCAATATATAACCACCTCGCCCAGAAGCAATCATCAGAAATGCTTTTCAAAAGCTGCTAAGAAACACAACTATGAATCAGAAATCCTTCTTACCTGATCAATATCAATCTTATATATGGTGACATGAGGGTACTTCTCACTCAATTGTCCGATGATGGGAGATAATAACCTGCCTGCAGAAGACGAATATAATATAAAAAAACAAACAAAAAATTTTCATGGATTGCTGAAAAGAAAAAGGTGGCCACTATAAACTCAGAATTCAAAATGGAAAATCACCCAATTAACAAATGAATGAGTAAGAATCTTACATGGGCCACACCATACTGCGGTGAAGTAGACTATTGCAGGCAAGGTTTCATCTGGCACAATATATTTCCATAAATATGGAAGCAATTAACTACTATTAAATACTAAGAATTGAAATAAATAATACAAAAAACACAAAAACTACCTTGAACCTTGCGAAAAGAACTACTGAATTTCTCTTCAGAGTCGATCACCACAATATTTGAAGGACCTGAAATTAGGCATTGGCATCATGAACAACAAACAGTGAGAACCTCGATGAGTGCATCAAATTACAAATGAGACAACATTATATGTAAATATCAGCAGAAAAACACTAGAAGAAAGCACCATTTCCATCAAAATATACTAATGAATCACAAGTCCAATATGAATAAAACCCGCAACAAATAAATGCCAGGATATAAGTTATGAGTATCAAACCTTGATGATATAAAAATGAGTTTTTTAAAATCACTTGGACCATATCAGTGAGTCAGATATATCAAAACATGCAATTTGCCAAATTTCTAGAGTAAGAACAGTTGTTTATTTGTGTACGAAACTTCAATGAATTACCAACATTATACCCAAAAAAAAATTTATTAAGATTCAAAAAGAGACCAAGTACACGAAACTCCTACTAAAGCGGGGTCTAGCGAGCGCAAGATGTTCTAAAACTTAATTTCATTATTAAGAAGTACATAGCAAAATTCACTACCTAACCCAACATATCACTTCTGTCCCCATTAAACAAAAATAAGACGCTATAAATTAGTGAATAAACCTAAAATCATAAACTAGGTAGTGAAAAAATATATAAATTTATTTAATTTAACTGAGCTTATAGCCGACCATACTTGATTTGGACACAACGCTTAGTTTGGTTTGTTTTGATTAAAAGAAATCCTAAAATCACAAACTATCGCAAGAACCACTTCAAATTGTAACTTCAATGCACAAATTAGCACAAAATACCAATTCATTGGCACTGTGACTAATGAATTAGAAATCAATGATAGCTGGAAACCCTCCATGATAATAACAATAATAGCAACAACTAGGTTACTGTAATATATATATATATATAGAAATATAATTACATTTTTCATTTCATAGTTTGATCCAGATTTTAAATTAGTCCTATAGTTTCAATTTGAACAATTAGTTCCTACCTTTTCAATTCGGTCCTTCCATCTAAATTAGACGATGAAATTAATAATTTTGGGACGTTTTTTAAAGTTTTAATTTGGTTCTTAAAATTAACAATTTTGGTCCAATTGTCAATTTTGTAACAATGTACACATAGACAAAATAAAATAAAATAAAAATTAGAGAATAAAGTAAAATTTAGATCAAACTACATGGTCAATATATATATATATATATATAGAGAGAGAGAGAGAGGAGGGGGGTCAAACCTGAGGGTGGTGAAGAAAGGCATCGGTGGATGCTGATATGCTGCGGCAGTTGAAATTTGGCGGCGGCGGCGGTGGTGGTGGCCGTAAAGAACGGTTTTTTTGAGGAAAACAGTGAATTGGAGTATGAAACTGTTGGGTTCGGAGAGGAAATTAGGGTTTCAGTGACGGAAGATGAAAGAATCCTATTACAACGAATTAGATTTCGCAATGTAGCTGTGTTTCTCGTCATTCTCTCTCTCTGCACTTTCTCTCTCTAAAAGCTCTCTGAAAATGGGAGGGTTTTGCAGAGGAGCAAGGATAGTTTTTTTTTTTCTAAAGTTCGGTATTGTGTTTGGTTGAGATTTAATGACAAGTCACATCAATTTTTTAACATTTAACAAACTTTATAAAAAAAACGCTCTACAATCCTTGGTGTTTGCAGAGGTGATGAAAATTGATACTGGGCTTTGATGATGAGGAGAAATTTAATGACAAGTTACATCAATTTTTTAATATTTAAGAAATTTTATAAAAAAAAACGTGTTTGCAGAGGTGATGAAAATTGATACTGGGCTTTGATGGTGAGGACGATCGAAAATGACGTGGGCCGAAGATGGGCCGGGCCCTAAACGTTGTGCTCTGTTTGGTAGGTGTGAAAGTTGAAAAGAAAAAGGTCATCAAATTAAAAAAAAAAAAGAAAAATAATAAATATAAGGAAAGAAAAAATTCTATGAGTGATATAAACGGATTTGGGCACAGCAGGCACTGTATGAGTCTAAAACGACGACGCATGACCGTTTTGGTAATGGGTTGTTGGCTGCCCTTCAATGTTATGATGATTACATTTATGTGTTATATGATATATCACATTTATATTTATAACAAACATAAATAGTGTATTCCATTAAATACTAAATAATTTAAATAATAATTCATGAGTAATATATACGAATTTTTTTATAAAATGAACGGGTTGAATTATCAAAACGCGACAAGTTATGAATTTCACAGATCACTCAAATTCTTTCAAGTTGAGATTTAAACGTGAAATAATTCTAACTTTATATATATTTATATATCATATTTTATTTTTATTTTATGTGCTATTATTATAATGATTCAAATAGAATCGATCATTCATGTCTACAACATAGAATAATAATTCAAACAACAATAATAATAATATTATGAGGACTACTATATATCACACATTACTTTTCACTGTTTTGTATTTCCAAATACATGACACATTATTTGTCTTCACTATTTTATTAATGATTGTTTTTAATAAATAACTAATCATGAGTATCATATAAGTGCTCATACAATACTATAGGTAATATATAACATTTCTCTTTATCTTTACATATTATATTTTATTCACCATACTATGTGTTAGCATTCCATTAATTTATTGAAATACCACTCATAAATGTGATGAGCATAAATATGATACATAAATGTGATCACCCTAATATTAAGAGAAAGTTATTTGTAAATAAATTTGCTATCATATTTTTTTTTTTTACCACTAAACACAAAATAATGATTCCTAATCGGCCAGATTCAGTCTAACAGCGGAAGGCCATCTCTACAGGAGGTCCTTCACTGGACCACTTTTAAGGTGCGTACATCCTTTGCAGGTTGAAGATTTCCTTTACGAGATTCATGAAGGAATTTGTGGAAGCCATGCAGGGGGCAGATCGTTAGCCCACAGGGCCATTACCCAGGGGTATTGGTGGCCCTACATGCAAAAGGACGCCGAAGCCTATGTAAAAAAGTGCGAACAATGTCAAAGGTTTGCACCTTTGATACATCAACCAGCTGCCGACCTAAACCCAGTATCCAGCCCTTGGCCGTTTGCCCAATGGGGCATGGATCTGGTTGGACAACTTCCCCAAGCAACTGGGCAAAGAAAATACTTGCTGGTAGCGACAGGCTACTTCACAAAATGGATAGAGGCAGAACCTCTTGCCAAAATCCGAGATGTGGATGTTAAGAATTTTATTTGGAGAAACATAATCACCAGATTTGGGATTCCAAGAGCAATTGTTGCCGACAACGAGACACAGTTCGACAGCAAACTCATCAAAAACTTTTGTGCAAAATTCAAGATCAAGAATTATTTCTCAACACCAAGTTTTCCTCAAAGCAATGGGCAAGCAGAAGCATCCAACAAAGTAATCCTGGATGGAATAAAGAAGAGGCTGCAGGCAGCAAAAGGAAAGTGGGTGGACGAACTGCCCAACGTACTTTGGGCATATCGGACTACACCAAGAAGATCAACAGGAGAATCGCCCTTTGCCATGGCCTATGGCACAGAAGCAGTCATCCCATTAGAAATCGACATCCTAGGGATCAGGACCCAAGGAGTAGAGAATGGCACCAACGACATACTCTTAGCCCGAGACCTGGATTTATTGGAAAAACGAAGAGAGAAGGCTGCAATTCAGCTCGCAGTATACCAACAACAGCTTCCCAGAGCTTACAACAAGAGAGTCAATCCAAGAGATTTTCAAGTCGGCGACCTAGTCCTGAGAAAAGTCGTCGGGAACAAGAAGGATCCCAGGGAAGGCAAGCTTGGCCCAAACTGGGAAGGACCCTACAGAATTACTTCAGTACT